GAGAAAAAGCATTCCCTTATTAGTAAAAGCAAGTGTTACAGTATGTATACTAGCAATATTGGAAAAAAAAATGATTATTATCTCTCTTTATAATGGCTTGGCGTGTCCGGGCACGTTCACCTTCCTTCAGCTTGAGGCACATTTAGGGTTTTAACTCCTTATTCTTAACCTCATTATAGCTCTCTATCAATCTTTTTACCTTCCCATTTGCGTTTATATATAAAACCCATCTCTTCTCAAAAACCTTTTCCACTAAAGTTAGAAAAATCGCTAAATATTTCTTGAAGTTGTTTTTATGCAAATAATAGAATGCTATTAAAAAAAGAAAAGCGACTCTTTTTTATTAATCATTTGTCAGTATTAGTTCTTTAGCTGGAAGTATAAAAAAGTACCAAATTGCGAATTTGTTGTCCTCTACTGAGGCATGAGTCTGTTAATGAATCAATGTTGCACACATATGAAAATGTGAAAAATTGAGCAAGAAAAACAACTTGGATCTAAAAAAAAACCTAATTGATTGCTACATGTCACTCACCTAAGTAAAGTTTGACACGCACAAATTAGAAAGCAAAAAGAGGTGCTTATTCTCCTGAGACAACCCATTTCTAGAAATTTACCGTTCACAACCTCAAATACAAACATGACCATTTTGAAAACCAGAATTAAATAAAAATTGCGTTGAGGAGAAGCAAAAAAGGGTTGCAACTTTAAAAACGGCAAAGAATTTCCGCTCTCCCAGTTGATAAAGTGCGCGTCATTAATGTGTGGTCTGCAATGTAACTGCCAGTGTAAAATTCTCGCATCCTCCTAACAACGCGCCGATGTTGGGTGTTCGCACCGCGTCAGGCTCGCATGTTGAGAGATACAATACAGTGGGAGATAGCAGGATCTGGAAACATACAGGGAGTTTACTACCGCCCAAGGAGTACACTTGACTAGACCGTCGCTGCCTAGGCGAGATAGTAAAGGGGATGTGAAGTGGGACGAAGATTCAAACCCTCTTTAAGGCGCATAGCAATATACAATGATCGGTATGGTGGAAGAATTTGTTATATTTATTTGTAACCGATGACTATTGTTGATGTGCCGCAAACACTTTGTCAAAACCATCGTAATATCAGCCAGACTGAGTGTTAAGTTGCTTAAGGTGCTTAGAATGATTCTACGGATTGCACAGTTTATAGCAAGATGTGAAGTGTATGTTAACTTCTGGGATAAATCACGTATTAGCGTATTTTGAAAGCGATAGTGTATATTACTGAATGACTTTAGGAACTGTCTGTATGAGATCGTAAAATTGCACAATCCATGAGTGAATTTGCAAGCGCCAGAGTGATAACTGAGTTACTAATTCAAGGCTAAGCCCCACACTTTGTTGTATATGAGGAAGTTACGTGTCAAGCATAGGACTGTGGTAAGGATGAAGCATGAACGAGGACGTACAGCTGAAAAATTGAAAGGCAAAAAGAATGTACAAATTCCCTCTAAAATGCACTTTACCTGAAGCCGTTTTACTGGCAGGAAAGTGATTTTTTAAAAAAACCTCCGCAGTTCTGTGAAAAACCATTTATTAAGGTCATTATCTGCTTCCATCATAGTACAGAGTCTTTCGCTGCTATCGGAAACTAACCGTGCCTTACTCACATCTATACATATAAAGCACAAATTCTGTGTGTGTGTGTGTGTGTGGGTTTGTATGTTCCCTATACAAATTTTTGTTTCTGAACCGCCGGACCAAACTTCACACACATACACTTTGGAGCATTGCGGAGAACGTAGGCTAGTTTATCCGGAAAAATATCGATTGATAATATCGATTTATTGATTTTTTCGCAGTTCTCGCAAGATAGCTGAGAGTTGGGTACACTGGGG